GTACCCCGTCTGCTATACTACTATAGTAGTAATAACGAACTAGTATGACTTAAAAGTTTGTATGAACCGCAGTTAATAATTTATCTATATGCCCTCGGGCGGCTTACAAACCGTCGGGCCAAAGGCCCTCGGGTTTGTAACATCGTCGCCCTCTGGGCGTAAACATCTCTTTAATACTCTTGATTCATTTTAATACCATCTTGAAGCTATTTGTTTGCATGCGAGTCACTGGATAAGTACTAAAATTTAGTTTTTGTTATGTTCTTCAGTGACATCGTCGTAGACCTATATATAAAGTGCCTGTGTTGATAAAACGTGTCTTTTAAGTAAAGTTTTGGAAACACTAAGAATGATGGTTTTGTTTTGCCAAAAACTGTACATGATGGATCCTGGCGCATTATCGTGATAAACAACAAATCAATCACCTTTCGTCCATCACTTAAACCGTTTTGTTCTTAAAGCACCACCTAATCCTTTTACGAATTAAAATTGAACTTCTTTGTTGATTTGCTGACATTTTGAAGTGTATTTAGGTACACAACACCTTTATAATCTAAAATACACACAATGAACACGGACGCTTGGTGTTACTGTAAAGACAGTTATTTTTTCTCAGGTCATAATCACAAACTCAGGATTTGTTACTACTTATATGATCTATTTAAGCACATTTTAACCAGTATTGACCATTTTCTGACCTATGTATTGACCTATTTTTGGCATGTGTTTACACTTTATAGTTTTTAATGAAATATGTAGAGGAGGGGAGAACTCTTTATCTCAAGTTGGTCATTCAGAATTATATATGTGTTTTGTAATTTGTTAATTTCCATAGAGTCTAACAAAGATAGCTTAAAGGCCTTTATTTTAAATGTAACGAGTTTTAAATTCGTCATTAAAAGAATGATTATGATCTAGAAGGCGAAGTGCGTATGTAGAATCTGTTTTTCTATTATTGAAAGCCTTTTATGTTCTGCTATTCGTTTATTAAAATTTCTACCAGTTTGACCGATGTAAGTTTTTGGACAGTCGCCACATTTAAGTTTGTATACACCACTGTGTAACTGATTTTTATTTTGGCTCTTGTTGTTTTTAATATATTTGCCTAAGTTGTTATTTGTTCTGAAAGCTGGTGTTATTCCTTTCTTTTTTTATGTGTTTGGCTATTTTTGTTGTTATTTTGCCTGTATATGTAATCGAGGAGAAGGTACTGGGTTTTTTCTCTGGTGGTGGAAATACTAATTTCAGGGCTTTCTTGTGTAGTTTTTGATTTAAAATTTTATTAATTGTTTCTTTTTCTATTCATTGTTTACTGCTATTTGCTTAATGATATTTAATTTTGTCTTAAAGTTGTACTTTGACATCGGAATTTCTGTTAATCTATGTAACATACTATAAAAGGCTGCGACTTTATGTTGTGTGGGATGGGATGAAGATTGTGTATAGTCGTGTCAGTATGGGTAGGTTTATGAAATATGGAGAAGTTATGTTTGTTTTTAAGCCTGATATTTTTTAAATCTAAAAAATTTATGTGTTGATTTTGTTGTGTTTCTATTGTAAATGCAATATGACTATGAAGTGAATTAATATACGATAAAAATTGGTCGAGTTGCCTGTTAGTTCCTGTGAAACATACAAGTACGTCGTGTACGTATCTCCACCAATATAAAACTGTTTGAATATGAGATGTTTTGAAATATTTATCTCTAGATAATCCATAAAAATATCTTATTGCAATGAGCGTAGAGGATTTCCCATTATCAGTCCTGCACTGTTATTTGTATATATTTGGTTATTAAATTCAAAGAGTCCTGGTTTATGCCAATTTCAAGAAGATGTAAAATTTCAGATGTAATGATTGGATTTGTAATATTTTGGTCTAAAAGGTTTTTAACTAGAATAAAAGTTTCTGTACAGGTCTTATTGGGTGATCTGGTTTGTGTAATTCAATAATAGAGTATGATTTAGGAGGCTGTGGATTCATAATATTGAGGTATTTCTCTTCTGTTGGGTTTACTATTGATTGTGAATTTTCTAACGCTAGCTTAATTTGTTTTTGATACTTTTCTTTCGGATCTTTGAGTAATGTTTCAATATTTTGATTATTTAAAAATTTTATTGTTTTGTTATTATATTCTTTTTTATCTATAGCAATAGTAGTGTTACCTTTGTCTGCTTTTGTAAACACTATGTTGTTTTCTATTGATTTATATTTAATTGAAATGGCTGGTTTATTCTCTTTGTAATAGGACTTTTTGGTTTCATTACACACATATGTAATAGAATTTGCAATTATACTTTTTTCGATATTGTTAGCAGTTTTGTTTAATGCTGCTGCATGTTCTACACCTAAATATTCTAAAGTTTTCTGATTATTATGTTGAGGCAAGTTGTGGTTAAATCTTTTCTTTAAAAGTTCTATGTCGCTATTACTAAATTTAGTATCTGTTAAATTTATAAATCTATTGAAAAAACTATGGTTCGAAAAACTTCTTGTATGATGAATATTGGGTATTTTACTCAATCGGAAATCAGCCGAAACATCCGATAATATTTTATAATAAATTTTGTGAAAGTTTTAAAAACGAATATTTATCTGTTTCACTGTGAGTAACATTGAAGTGATTTTGTCACATATGCCAATCATTCCTATATTCTTACACAATCAGACAAAGATGTTTTTCAGGAAGTTCCTTAACTTATACTTGCTTATTTATTCCGTGGCTTTACAAACCTTCGTGGGTTTTAGCCGACTCGACACCATGCCTCCACTGTTTTCTGTCTTGAGCAAGCTCCATCCAGTTCTCCACATCCATAGTGCCTAGGTCTCCTGCTATATTATCTCGTCACCGGAGACGAAGGCGTCCGCGTGGTCTCCTTTTAGTTGGGACTTTCTTCCACACAAGTCTTACTGTTCGTTCGTCAGAATGTCTTCTGAGGTGTTCTGCCCATTGGAGTCTTCTGGACTTTATTTCTTTTATGATGTTGGCGTCTGGGTAAAGTTTTTCGAGCTCTTTGTTAGTTCTTATGCGAGTTCATTGCTTACATTTCTGCAACCTCCATCCAATTCTCCACGTCCATAGTGCCTAGGTCTCCTGCTATATTTTCTCGCCACCGGAGACGAGGGCGTCCGCGTGGTCTCCTTCCAGTTGGGACTTCCTCCCACACTAGTCTTACTGTTCGTTCGTCAGAATGTCTTCTGAGGTGTCCTGCCCATTGGAGTCTTCTGGACTTTATTTCTTTTATGATGTTGGCGTCTGGGTAAAGTTTTTCGAGCTCTTTGTTAGTTCTTATGCGAGTTCATTGCTTACATTTCTCCGTCATTTCCAGCGGTTTCAAAATACATGACTAACGCAAAAATGATAATGTAAACAAAAATATGCTTTTACGTGACAGCTTTATTGATAACTACAATATATGGCAAATTCCTGGTTGCAAAAAAGTAAGGTATTACGTTATGTCGTATAAAAGGTCCTGGAACGTTTTGGCGCGATATTATAAACCTACGTTGGATGAAAAATAAAAAAAATACGAAATCTTTACTGGAATCAGACAACAAATCTTAGCAAGTGGAGTGATGCAAGGCTGTATTTTGTCTCCTCCAATCTTTAATCTGTACTCTGAAAGACTATTTATCGAAGTTTTGCACGAAACTTAAAAAGGCATTCTACCAAATGGCTTCTACCGGCTAAACAACATCAGATATGCAGATAACACCATAGTATTTACGGACAACCTAGAAGATTAATAAGTTCTTATGAACAAAATCACGTATTACAGTTAAAATATGGATTTATTATAAACATTAAGAAGACAAAGCTTATGATAATTAGCAAGAAAAGGATAACAGAAGGTCAACTCTATGTCAAACAATCTCCTGTAGAAGGAGTGACGCACTACAACTACCTCAGCACCATAATAAATAAAGAATGGACCAACAACCAGGAGATTAGAGGACGCATCGGAAAAGCGAGATTCACCTTCAATCGGATGGGGGCCTTCTTCAAGAGTCACAGAGAGCTCTCCTTCAAGTCATCCTGCAAAAAAAAATATTTGGAAAGCGAGGACCAGGAAGAAAAAGAATATCTTGGTTAAAGAACATCAGAATCTGCTTCAATACAACATCTGTGCAGCTTTTCCGCGCTACTGCAAATAAGATAAAGATTGTCATGATGATCACCAACATTCGTAACGGATAGACACATCAAGAAGAAGAACAACGTTGGATGCTTTTGGGACTTCTTCTTCTTCTTCACGTACCATCTCCGTGGCAATTATCACGGCTATTCTGATCTTAGATGCTGCTGCTCTGAATAGTTCAATTGATGTGCATCCGTACCATTCTCTCAAGTTACGCAACCATGAGATTCTTCTCCTTCCTACACTTCTCTTGCCCTGGATTTTCCCTTGTCTAATCAATTGAAGTAGGTTGTATCTCTCATTACGCATAACATGCCCTAGATATTGCAGCTTTCGTATCTTGATAGTTTCCAATACTTCCATTCTTTTGTTGATTCTTCTCATGACTTCGTTGTTTGTCACATGCTCGGTCCATGATATCTTTTTGGGACAGACTTCGTATATCTTGGTTTTTGAAAATTCAACTAATTAAAAAAAGTTGAAAGGCTTTAGCGTATTTGTGGTTGATCGAGAACGTTTGTTTCATAGATTATAAAATTTTCGATAATTTGTATCAACATTTACTCTGGTCAATGACGAACTTGTTTGGTGTATTGCCTTAATCTGAAAGAAATTATATATTTATATTCACTGCATAAGATCTTCTAAATAAAGCAGTCTGGAATGAGATTAAAACGCCATCATAAAATTGAGACTTAAGAGAGAGAAGAGATAGGAAAATACTTATGTACAAAAGTATATGTAGGGATACTTAACAAATTTTTTAATGAAAATTATTATTAATTTTTTGGATTTGACTAAATTGTTTTGTTTATTCCATGCAGTTTTATATTTAAATGCTACATTTTTTATTTTTACAGATACCGGGTCAGGTGTTCATTCACAGCCCATCGGACCACCAAAAACTGTTACAGGAGTAGGCAATTCTGGTAAGTACTTTTAGGGATGAATTTTAAAAGATAACTTTTAAACTTAAGTGAATCCGTATGTAACGACTATAAGTGCTGTCATTAACCCTAAGATAAGTTTAACTAACTAAACAGACTTAACAGTGATCTCGGGTCGGTTGGTGTGTCGGATGTATATATAGTGTACCGGTACGGCGAAAGCAGTGCTTTCTGCGGCACAAATGCCTCAAGAGTTCCAACTTTGGACAGGGTGGCCTCTATTCGAACTCCGAATCTCCAGTTAGTCAGGTATAACGCAAGAAGACATGTCATCGCCTCGCTATATCCTATATTATACATTTTAAATAACAGTCCTTCGTGTCAGACTCTGTCAAAGGCTTAACTGACATCAAGAAAGGCGGTTGCTGTATACATTTTCTCGTTGGAGCTCTTGGTAATATATTCTGTTTGTCTTAGTATCTGGAATTGAGCTTCCGGAATTGTTCCTGTTGCTTTTAATAAATCTTTCAGTCTTTTTAGTATCACTCTCTGTGCTACTTTACTTATAGATGGTAGCAAGCTAATTGGTATATACATATATGGCAGATAGGGCCACTGCAAAGTTAACGAAAATGTAAACGATCAAAATGTAGTCCAAACTATGTAGCTTTTCTTTTGTTTTCTTCGCCGCTTTAATTCTCAAATAATAAGGTCTAATAAGTTTTCTTCATATGCATCATTTTTTAATGTCATGCAGCTATCGTTAAACATATTCTTATAGTTACTCACGGACATGTATACCTAAAATACTTATCACACCACCAGATAATGGAGTAAGTCCGAAGCCAAATTCCTGCACACACACAATAACCATTTTTATCATTATAACTAGATAACCTTATTAGTATGATAGGAAAAGGTCAAAAATAATATCTTATAAACAATATTTACTTCCTTAACAAGTAAATATTTACAGTAATCTAATAGATTACCAGTTTTTATTCCCTGCTCTTCCGTAGAAATAAGGACTAACGAGGCAACACAGAAAAATTTATTTATTTTACTAATTGGAAGTCCCGAGCACCTGATTAATATTTTTTTATTAGCCTTCACGAGCGAGCGTCTCTAAAATATTACATCAATTGTTATTGCATTGGGTAATAAGTCCAATTAACTCAATTAGCAGTATCAGCTTTTCGTTGTTTTCTTAGAAGAGTCGCAGACATTTTACTGATTAGATAAATTGGTGGTGACAATATCTCGTTATGTTCTTTGTCGAAAAGAAAACAAAACATAAAGAGAGAAGGTAATTAATTTAAAGAGAAGTTCGTAACCATGGTTCGTAACGATTTCAGCCAGGTCGTCACAAAATAAAAAGTTTTTTAATTAAAGTTAACTCGTCATAGGTATAGGTATTTTATCAAGATATAATATTTTCCGAAATTGTATTCGAAAAAAGTAAACATTCTCTGTAATTGAAGACACAAGTATATGAAAGTTTTATGTTACATTTTTCTTAAGATGATATGTTTGTTTAAAATTTGCCGTTGGCCACAAGAATGTTATTAATCAGGTATTGTACGGAAATTCAGTTTCTGGTCCACAGAAATTAAAGAACAGAAAATAATTAATGTCGGTACATGGAACGTACCGACACGTCTTCAAATTCTGCTTGATCGTATTCACGAGGTAGGAGAGGAAATGAAAATAAACTCAAACAAAATCAAATTTTTAGTGTTTAGTCGTGACCCACATCCCGATGCAAAGCTTCAATTGAACGGAGTCCAAGTTGAGCAAGTTCACAAAATGATGTATTTGGGAATTGTGATAACGGACCAACTAGATCCAGACATAGAAATAAAACGTAGAATAGCAATGACTAAAACTACTTTTATGAAAATGAGGTCATTTCTTTGCAATAACCATCTCAGTTTAGAACTAAGGCAAAGAATGGTAAAAGTGCTATGTTTGGTCTGTACTTTTGTATAGTGCAGAAGTGTGGACGCTAAAAATATCGATCATGAACAAAATTGAAGCATTGGAAATGTGGGTTCATAGACGAATGCTGAAGATACCTTGGACAGCAAGAAAAACTAATGAAGAAGTAGTAAGGAGCGTCAACAATGACAGAGAACTGCTAAAGACTGTTAAACATCGAAAAATGTCTTATCTGGGACATATAGTAAGGGGAAGTCGATTTAAAATTTTACAACTAATCCTTAAAGGAAAAATAGAGGGCCTACAGGTGTAGGAAGAAAACAAGTTTCTTGGTTAAAAAACATTCGTGAATGGACTCAGATACCAAATGCAGGACAATTATTTCATATTGCAGCAGATCGAGAAGCCTTCGCAATGTTGATAGCCGACGTCGGATAATTCTGATATGGCACACGAAGAAGAAGACATGGAACGTACAAGGGCTATCACAGGTAAGCTGTCAATTACATTGGGAAACAATTTGAGACTCAATTTCTGTTGAGTTAGATTTTTAAGCTGTTTTCTATAGAATTGGGCATGCTAGTTTCAAAACTGTTTTTAATTTTCTTCTTTCACGTCACGTTCGTTTTCTATGCGGATGAGGCGCATGTTGGTAAGGGTAATGCCGCGGTGATAACTGCAACTGGCCTAGACTGCCTGTACTTCAGTTACGGTTATACTGTGGTAAAACGTTGTGTGTCAGTTAGCAGTATTTAGTATTTAGTTACTAAAGTGTATAGAACTACTTAGTGGGTTTTAACTAAAACTTTTCCTTATGGCTACCTTTGTTCCTACGTGTCATAAGTGCGAAAACACCCCGATTAGTTTTGATATATATATGTGGCAGTTTTTCCATTTCCAGTTAAAGGACAAACATAAGTACATTTGTCAGACAAGCATATTTTGCCTATTTTAAAGTCAAAACTTGGTGATCAAGATAAAGCAGGAGCACCTCAAGTGTGTAAACAGTCTGTTGATGGCTTACGGATGTGGGCCAAGGGAACATGTGCTAAACTTGTATTTGGTATAACTATGATTTGGTGGAAGCTCAAAGATCATTCAAGTGATTGTTACTTTTGTATAGTGAAAACATCAGGATATAACAAGAAAAACAAATGTAAAATAGAGTATCCTAGTAAACTCTCAGCTATACGCCCAGTCACATATTGAGTCGAAATTTCAGTGCCAGTTTTTAATAAATTTTTCTCTTTGGAAGAACGGGAATACGGATATGGTGCGTTTGAAAGCGACTCCAACGGTGAAGATTTCGAAATTGAAGATGATTCCGTACGTAAGGTATTCGAGCAGCAAGAGCTAAATGATTTGATACGACATTTGGGGCTATCCAAAAAATCTTTAGAGGTCCTAGCATCTGGTGGATTTGTGTTTTGTCATAATGTAAGTGGTTTAATGGAAGAGTTAGGAATTTCAAACTATAACGCAACTGACTGGCGACTGTTTATAGATAGGTTTATAGCGGAGCTTCAAATGTGTTCTCCTCCATAATAGAAATTTATTTGATTTAGTTCCAGTTGGCCATTAGTCATTATGATGACATAAAGAAAGTTGCAGACTGGAGTTGCAAACGTGGATACACGAAGTATCCCTGCTTTTTGTGCATGTGGGACAGCAGAGCTCGTGCGCAACATTGGGTGCAGTCGAATTGGCCACCAAGATTGAGACCTGGTGATACAAACATTGTACATCAGCCACTAGTCAACAGAAAGAATATTATACTTCCACCTTTGCATATAAAATTGGGTCTCATAAAGCAATTTGTTAAAGCTTTGCCAACTGAAGGCAACTGTTAAGTATCTCGTGTCGAAAGAAAAAGGCCGGTCTTTTGTATTGGTCCAGAGATTCGGCAATTTCTTGTAGATGAACATTTCGTGGAAACAATGTCAGACATTGAAAAGAATGCGTGGTTGGCATTCAAAATCCTTGTTAAAAATATTCTTGGAAAAACACGAGCATTAAATTACTCAGACATTGTACAGCAACCCATGGAGAGCTTCCAAAAGCTAGTTTGCAACATGAGCATTAAAGTGCCTTTTTTACATAGCCACATTGCTAATTTCCCGGACAATCTTGGTGCGGTGAGTGATGAGAAGGGCGAGCGTTTCCATTAAGATTTGAAGTTTATGGAAGCATGGTATCAAGGTAGATGGGACGTACATACGATGGCTGACTATTGTTGGGGCATCAAGTACGAATGTACACAAACTGAATAGTCTAGAAAAAGATACAAAAAAAAATTTTTGTCTTAATTTGTAAGTACTGTTCATTAATTAAAATATTTTATTTGTATGAACTCGATTTAACTTACATTAAATGTTTTGTAAACTTTACATTTGGTACGTTTTTATTTTATGTTTCTTTTTATGCATAATTTTTGAGGATATCCTGTAGTTTAAAAAGTTGACGTGATAGGCAATATCTAAGGTTATTCTCAGATTCAGACGACAAAAATTAGTAGAAAACAGGTACAAGATTTAACTGAACAAACAATATGTTCCCCAGATATTGAAAGAAAGCTGATAAGATATAACATTAAAATCTCTGAACTAGCTGAAACACATTGATTAGGAAAGGGGCATTTTAGAACACAAAATGGCAATTATTTTTTTTTAAATTTATTATTTATATTTTTAATTGATTGGTTTTCTGGCAGTGAAACCCAGAACTATACAGGTGTTGCTATTCTGGTTTCACCAAGATTACAAAAGTTCTCTCGTCGAATTTAAAGCTATGAGTGATAGAATAGTTCTCCTTAAACTGGAAGACAAACCACATAGACTCCATATTATACAAGTTTATGCGCCAACTAGTACAGCAGACGACATAAAAGTCATAAGACAAACAGCTTACCTAAATATGCATTGATTTTAATTCAAAAGTCAGCAACCCTACACAGAATGACAACCTAAAGAATGTACTGAGAAGGTGTGGCATAGATCAAAGAAATGAAAAAGAGGATACCGCTTAATCAAGTTTGTTATCACAAATAACTAATTTGTTATAAATACTCGATTTTAACACCATGTACGCCAACTTTATACTTGGAAATAGGTCTACAAATTAAATTAACTATATCCTCACTATTATTCGCTGGAGATCATCAATCCAAACAGTCAAATCATACCCAGGGGCGATATGTGGATCACATCATACTCTCCTCATAGCTAAAGCACAGAATAATAAACAGTCAGAATGCCCACTCTCCATGGAAAATTAAGTACGCGCATCTCGTTTGCGCAGACGCTCCGCCATGTTTTAAAGGGAACCAATGTTGTTTATGTGGTGTGCATAGAAAAATTAACCCGGTTTAATTGACTGTAGGCAATCATAGACATGCTATACAGTTATATTAACATTAAAAAAAATTTATTTAAAATCCTTTATAAAAGGTATATAATAAAATGTCCAAACGGGCTATCACAAAGATATTGCAAAACGTTTTCGGATTATTAAATCCATTATCAGTGCAAACGAGGTATACAAGCTATGAGCCACCAAAATATATGGGTCCAAACCCTTTAAATGATATAAATTTACATTTGATTTATATTATATATGTGGTTACAAATTATGATGTTTAAGTTACCGTTGGAATTGGTAACATGGCGTAGAACATGACATGGAATTAACATTGTTAAATATAATAACATAAATATAATATAATTAAACATAAATATAAATAATTACCTAACCTCACAAATCATATGTCTGTGTTATATGTTTCCTTAAGTGTTAAAAACTTCAAAGGCGGCATCTGAGAGTGGGCATTGTAATTTTTTATTATTCTGTGGCTAAAGTAAAGCTTAAACTTAAAGCGCATACACTCTCTTTGGTAGGTTTTAATGCAACAAGCTAATTTTTATAGGGCGATTTTGTAAGGATTGTCGTTTTCTCTATTCATCTACACCGCTTTCTGTAGTACGGTTTTCCTTTCGCAAAGGTACAATTTCCTCAGGAGATATGATAAAAGAACTTTTAACTTGGTCATTCATCCAAGATCTAGGTTGTGAAGAGCCTTGCCTAAATTCTGGAGATCTTTGTTCTCGAGTTAACAGATTAGTAATTGTTTCTATCGGCGACAGTAAATTAAATTACGTAATAATTTTTTTGCAAATCGTTGGATGCTGGGAGAATATTTGTAGAGGATGGATTTACTTCTGGATTTTTTAATTTATTTGTATTTTCAGCTGGCGCAAAACCTGCATCGGTAAAAACATTTTGATTTATACGCCAAGTTCCTGTGGCTCTATATTGTGTATTTATCTCGGTTGTCATAGTCATAGCTATTCTCCATTAGCTTTTATAATACAGCTGATAATTTTCAACGTAATATCATAAACCAATGACGAAGAATTTTAAAACAATTTAAATTTTTCTTGTCATAAATATTGTAGACATTGTAATAAACTGAGTACCTAAATAATCTGAAAGATACCAATATTTACGAAACATAACAAGAGACAAATAATAAAATATTTTCCATGAATTAAACTTCGTTTGGGATGATAGGAAATTTGCGATGATAGAGAAATAACAATTAATTTGTTAGTGGAGACGAACATCTATGATTTTTTGCCATTCTCGTCTGTTTCTTGCTTTATTTGTGATTTGGGTCTTGAACAAATCCCCTTCGTTGGCTCAGTGGAGATGTTCGTTCAGTTGTAATGGAAACACCAAATAATAGTAGCAGAGTTTATTGATGAGACGTACACTATGGGTGTTGACCCGGGATTACTTTGAGTAGAGACTGTTGCAGTTGATCGCTGAAGACTATCAAGTTTGTTGAGTGAATATTGATTGAATGCTTCTCTAGGCAAGAGATATTAGTTTTATATAAGTTTTAATTGGGTCAATATATTCGCGGCACTCGCGTGATATGTGTGTCTAATTTATGTAAATTGTTTAACTTTTGACTGATGTCTAAATTATATTGTTGATAATTGACCAAATCCGTATGTAACCTAATTAACTACGTGTGTGTATTCAATAACAAATAAATTCATTCGGTCTACTGGGTGATAAAATTATAGTGTCTAATTTCGGATATGAATTCTGAAGATTTGATATTGGACAGGTCTTTTATTTGACCTTATCTCTATTGGCGCCTGCCTTATTATTTTGATATTTTATTCTCCTGCATCCGTTTGATATCTATTATTCAAGGCCAATCTTTATTAATATAAAGGTGTCAGGTTCCTTGTATGCTGTGTATAATTCAACCACAATAAGCCAGATCTACGTCTCTAGTGAAATAAATATTGACGCATACCATCTTTTCATTGATTTGTAGACGGACTGTTAACATTAGAAAAATTCTGATCCAGGCACTGTAAAAGTTTAACACAATAATACAGCTTATTGCGATAATAAAATAACTCTTACAATATAGAGCAAAATTCAAATTTAAAACAAACTAACATAATATCCAATCTGTGATAGTAAAGGTTTACAACAAGAAGATGCCCTATTCTGTATTAATATCGTAAATCTATTTTTGTACTTACCAATTTCTTTTTACTTTTTAGGAGCTCACTATGGAGAAAAACCACCAGCGTATAACCCCAACTACAACCCTGCTGGCTACGGACATCCACCAGCTTACAGTCCAGCTGGATCCGCACCAGCATACAACTCAGGCGGCGGTGGTTTTAATTTCCCGCCACCTGCCTATAGTCAATCAGGACATCCAGCTTACAGCCCAGGCGTTTACCATGCACCACCAGCTTACAGTCCACATCCCAGTGGAGGAAGTGTGACTGTTATCAACAATAACAACCATCATTATTCTTATCCAGCTTATGTACCAACTTATCATTATACTACGGCAGATACAGGTAAGAAATTGGCAAGTTGTAATTATATCTTAATCCTTCTCAAGCGTTTTTCATTATTAAATGAAATTTTGTGTATTTATAATATTTTTACGTTTTACTTTTTATAGTTTCCTTGTACTTTAATTACATATCCTTTTTTGATTTGATTAAAAATTGATCTGATTATGGAATTAGTTATATGTAATTGAGCCAAGGTGCCTTTTCGTTGGTGATACGGCAATACGTTCTATGATCTTGACTATGCACAAGCAATATGTCCCGTGTAAATATCTAATTACAAACTTAATTTGAAAACTATCGCCAAACAGTAATTCTGCTGACGGAGTGAATGATTCTACAATATGTTCTATATGACAATGTATTTTGCTTAATGATAGTTGGGGGTACATTATCGCAGATAAATAATCAAGCCAGGAAATTAGTCAGTTTGGTACTAGATCATAATCAGTAGACAATTTACATAGTTGAAACAGTAGTCAGATCTAAATGTTCATATGATGAAAGTCTATGTAGAGATCCAGAATCTACAGAATTCAGCAATTATCGGAATATGCTGCTGGTGATATTTGCATGCATTTTTTGTTATATCGGATAACAGTTCTACTAAAAAAGTGTTGGATCCTCTAATTGATGATTTGTTTGTAGTTGAGACCAGCTATGACCAGATAAAACGTCCAAGAAAAGGCATGGTGATCTAACTAAGTGAAAACGTGCAAAAAATGCTTGATCTAGACTTAAGGGTACATCGTACCTGGATTTAGAAATTTTTTAAAAGAAAATACAAACTAATCAAAAAAAAATTTCGGTGGAATGCACAAATAGGAGTTTAAAATAAATTACAGTACTCCGAACAATTACAAAGAAACAATTTTATCACCTCAACACTTGAGAACGTCTTAAGATGTTGCATGAAGAAAAAACATTTCATTTCAATATTTCTTATTTTTGAAAAAAAGTTGACCAAGATTACTTGTCTATAACAGATGTTTATGTCTACATTAGGTATTGGACAACGGCATTTGAAAGACTGGCCTTCTTAAAATACGTTAATCAGTCATTTGTCCAAAGAAGTAGAACAAATAATGAGGAAACAAAATTTCCCAATAGCTTGTCAAAAGTTGACTAATATTACCGCAGAGATTTACAGTAACACAATATAATTTTTTCGTCGATTTTGTATAACATTTTACCATAAATTGCCATGAAAAAATTAGTGTGACCAGTTCAGTGCCCCTTTCACAGATAGCCTTATAATATTCATAACGATAAAAGAGACAAAACCCGGGTAGAAAAAAATGATAATAAAAATAAATCTGGAAAATAACACCGTAGTCTTTACAGTTGACATTCAGGCTGTTTTGTTATAACCAAGATTATAAGTTTTATTTACATATATTAGAACAAAAATCTAAAGAAGTAGTTAAAGCTTCAAAATTTTTCTATGTATAGGTACTTCAAAAATAAGGCAGACACATGCGATATATGATATGAGAGTAATGGTAGTTTTTGGTTCAATACCGTCGTTTAACCTTTGGTTCAAGATTTTAAAAACGTTGTTATGGACAAAAAATGTGTACGATTATTAAACCTGGAAATAAAAAAAAATAATCTGTGTTAGAACTATAAACTTTTTGGTGATACAGTGAAAATCATTATAATAAAATACCTAAAATGAATGGGCCACGTAATGCTGGTAGATGAAAGTGATCCTTCTAAAATGACTAAGCCAAATAGATCGGTCGGAAGAAAAAGAAATGGAACGACCTAAACTCAGGTATCTAAACGATGTGCAGGACGATTTAAGCGAGAATGGAGAAGACAGACACTAAACAGGAAAGAATGCAATAATGTTTTGAGGCAAGCCAGGGCTCACGAAGGGCTGCAGCGTCAACTGATGATGATGATGATCTGTGTATTAATAATCTCATGGGAATTCACTACGATCCAGTGGATTGTGTAATAAAATAAAAAACTGATTTTGGCATGAACTAAAAGATTTGCTAAGAAGTTCTAAGTAATTAAGCATCTCAACAAATTAAACAGCTTAAAAAAATAGACAGTTGCGTTACGATTTAATTTGAGACCTTCGCCATTCTCCTACACGTATTTCAAGGTTTATTTTTTATTGGGGAAGACTTTGTAAGAGGACTGAATTGAATTGACTAGTGCTATCTAGGTAACAATAATATTAGTAAAATAATGTACCAATAAATACTAATAGAGACATCTAACGATATAAAATAAAATATCGAAATACTTTATCAAGCACTATTACCAATATAAACATCAAAGTTTATTTATAAGCAATGAAATCGTTAAATATCCTATGATATTTAACCAGATGGATGCTTAAATACCACAATTTATTTTCATATTTAATCTTTTTGTTAAAGTATTTTTTATAATACTTTTTAGACTACATCATTTGCAATAGGTTCTTTGTCAGCAGCCTTACCTTATTTGCTATAACTATTCATGGTAATCCGTTCTATGTTGTCTCATAACTCTTTCCACAATAATTACTTAAACTCAGGTATTATTATTTTCAATATATCTTTAAAACAAGATAATAGTATGATACAATAATATATTAATTCTAAATATTTTTCCGCATATTACACTTTAAGCCTATTTCAACAATTTCACCGATGCTTTGCTTGTTAAGTTCCTACAGGTGAAAGAGGAAAAGAAAGGGGGAGAGGGAAAAAGAAAAATTGGAAAAAAATTAATATGATTGCTTGAGTTTCCTAATACACATTATTGATTTTAATCTTTTAATTTTTTGGCACCTTAAACAATCTATTGCCATTTTTTATTATTCTTCTGGAATATGATGTATTTAAGGTCTGGAGTGTGTATGTACGTCTGTAGTTAAATTATTTTATTTAACTATAATAGTTATATTATCCAGAGGTAGCCATACGGCTTATACTCACTATAAGAGAAAAATGACACCTCAATCCTTTAGATACCTATGGTATCCAAAGGACTGAGCTCTGATGGGACACTTTCCTTGTTATCGAGCCCTAGGGAAATTGGTTCGTCGAAGTATCTCACAAAAAAAATTTTACGCATCTAGATGTTGAAAACTATGCTGCTTGAAGATGATAATTGCAAACATTGCGGAAAGCTTGAATGTCTTAAGTTTCAACAGCATTCAAACTCTCTCTACAAAAAATTAATCGAATTTAATATGTACGCACCATTCAATATCCAGCCGCTACTGGCTACAGGTTCACAACAAATTTATAATATCATTATAGATTTCTTGTCAGACTCATGCACGGTGCTATAGAATTTGTACGCGAGCATGGAATTTTTATGATCGCATGGAAATTTAGATTTGTACCTTTGTTTACTCTAAATGTTATAACACCTTATCCGTGGTCCAGTTTTGTTTGTCTACTAAGAATGTCTTGATGGGCCCCTAGACGAGAAGCAAGTGACCCTGTAAGTTTCCTTGTCGTATATTCTTCTATTAATAAATTATCGGTTAGTTTTCTATTGGGGATAGAATTATGCATTTGTCTGATTGGAGAATCTATTGCAACTGTCTGAATGACTAATGTCAATGCCATTAAAAAAAACTATGCTGCTTTTTGCATAGTCTTATAGAGATGTTCATTAAGACCTAGCTGTTTTATGTTCTCTAAAAGACTTTTCGGAATAACTCCAGTAGTAGAGAGAATAATAGGAATCATTTGAGTGTTTTTTATTCTCCATTGTGTCCTTATTTGTATTTTCAGATCCTTCTACCAGGCGAATTTTTCGTTGTATTTAACACGCAAATTATTATTGTTAGGTATCGCCACATCTGTTGGTGTTGTCTGTCTAGTAAGTTTATTAACTAGTCTGAGATCTGGTCTATTATGTTCCACTGGTTGGTCTGTGAGCACAGTGCGGTCCCAAAAAACTTTATACTTATCGTCTTTAAGCATTCTGTCACAAACTTATTCATAATAAGGGAGATAGTCGGTGTTTGGAGAAGTCTCCTAGCTAGTTTCTGGTGAATAATCTTTTCTACTGAGTCATGGCATTCTTTTTAATCAGTTGTCCCCCACAAGATGTTGGATAGTTTTTTTGGCTTGACATTCATATCGGCAGTTATCGTTTTGGACGTGGGGGGCTTTAACAATATATTTCAGGTAATATTTATATCAAATAGGAAACCCTCTGCTTCAAAAAACATCCCTGATGTCAACCAATAGTTCGACACTATACTGTCGACATATTCTTGACTGATCTCGTTGAGATTCAGAGGTTTACTTATTCAGGTGCTCATTTGTTCTTGGTTAGAAAAGTAGTTTATGCACATTTCTTGTTTCCTCAGTTTGAGAGGCATTGTGTTATCTACTACGCAAACTGCAAATGTAGATTAGATGTCTCAGCCTGCGTCTGAAAATAGGTTCTTAAATTTTCAGTTGCTCACCTATATCCATAAGTCCTCATCCCCCTTGATACTACAATAATGTTTTTCTCTCTACTGTAGTGCGTGGATTATGTTTTTGCGCCTTTTAAAAAGTATTCTTACTTTTCTCTGAAGACTTTCTATATCCGTTTTTGACCACCTTATAGCACCATAATGGTTGTAGTATGATTATAATATCACATGTTACATATTTGTTACATAATATTAACAGTCTCCCTTTGTACCGCTAGCGCTTTAGAATAGTAGCAGGGTAGGCTGCCATCTGTCTGCTGTGGTACCCTAGGAAGGTAACAGGGTCAGTGCTAGGCTTAAATCACATTTTATTTATTTTATAACAAGATACTCATTAATTTAGAGTGAGTCGGCCTAGGTCTGTAGATATTTTGAAAATATTGATCATTGGTCTTCTGCATTAAGGTCAGACACTCTACTGCCTGAGCTGTATGACCCGGATCTTGTTGCATGATAAATTAAGATAAATCAACTGTTCTGTTGTTTACAATTCGTATCATATACTTCTATGTCTGTAATTACTTTTCTGTACCTTCATTGTTTTTTAGTCTCTTAATTCCTTTATAATAATCATTTATTTTATTAATATTTTACAGGAAGCAGCCATCTTGGTTTCTTTTTGGGATATTCATTAGGAAGGCTGACCTCCCCAAGTTATCACTACCACAGCTCCGTTTTATATGATAATTCTCCAAGATACGACCACTACGAAGTCCACCACTACTACCACAACAGCAACGCTGTTCCAAAGGAAGCAACCATTCAAGAAAATGCCATAGTCGGTTGTGTCGGGGATACTGGTTCATTCTGTCCTGCTAATACTACATCGTTATGTACTAACAACGGTGCCGTAATGTGTGTTGCCAGTGCCACCTCAACAGTTCCCTGTAATTTGGAACGACAAACCAATTGTGTAAAAAGTTCAGTACCGTGTTTGAACAGTACGTCTCCGGATTGTGTAGGAACTTTACAGAAATCAGCTACTGTTTCATTACCTTGTATTTCTACTGCCAAAATTTTAGCAAATATCAGCTTTGTTAATAACTCCATTATTGTTGCTCCAACTGCCAATACAACAGTTCCTAATAATCCAAATTCAACACCTTTCCCTATTACTACTACACCACAACCAATAACACCTCAGAACTTCTGTGTTACCATTCTGGCATTGCCTGCTGAAAGAAAACTTACTGAAAGTGAAAAACTAGCCAATGGCGTGGACGGACTGTTCGGAAAAATAGCTGTAAAAGCATTAGGAATTGCTTGACAGTATATAATTGGTATGGCTGTATTTCAGCTTTCTACATAATAAAATTATTTTTTAACCGATGCTTTGTTTCTAAGCAAAGCCTTGAATCAAATAGGCGATGTTATACAAATTTCAGGTGATGTATACAAGTACCTTATAAAAACATTTAAATAAATTTGTTTATTTAAAAGTTGTTTTTAAAAAAAAATATCTAAAAAGATAAACAATACTCTTGTTAAGTTGTTTGTTCGTCACAACTTAGAGAACCAAGCTCGATATGAGCAGCAAATATATTATGTAAATTTTAAGAAATAAAAATAAATAAACACTGACCGAGTTTTATTTAATGATTTTTGTATTAACGTATAAAACTTTTATATTTTGCAAATCTCCAAAATGGGCGTAAATTATTTTTGTTTATTTAATCAATGTACCCATTTATACGTTTCAGTGTTGAGCTATTTACATTAAAGCTCATTCTTCTTCTTCTTCATGTGCTCATCCTTTGGTGATAATCATGGTTCATGTTACTCTGTCTGCAGCAGTTCTGAAGGCCCCTATTGTTGTTTTTCCACTCCACTACTTAAATTTGCAACCAGGGCGCGCATAGTCTTCCCGGTACTCTTTTTCCTTCCCCTTCCCTTTGTATAACCAATCGTCTCAACCCATATTTTTTATTTCTTAATCTGTGACCAAAGTAACTTATTTTTCTTTCTCCCATAGTGCTGATTTTTTTCATCTTTCTTAATGCTCTTACTAAAAATCATGATTTTTGTTTTTTTTTGTGTTCAGAATCATTCCATACCTCTTGTAGATAATTTCTCTCGATCAACTTAAATTTGCAGCCCTTCTCTGCTGTCCGCAAGAAGTATTGTATCGTTTGTATAACTGAGATTATTTGGTGGTGTTTCGTTAATTATTAAGTTTTCATTGATGTCTTTAGTGGTTCTTTAAACATCTCTTCTGAACCTTTATTAAAGCGTAGAGAGAATAGTACACACTTTTACCATACTCTTTTTCATATATATTATAATTCATTACATTTATGATATTTATACAATACTTATTTAATTTTAACACATATTTATTTCATAAATTCATTTCTTGCGGCGCCTGTGTAATACTTCTTCTCCATGATTGTCTATTTTAGACATATTATCTAATCTGATTCCACTACAGTCCTATCTTTTCTGCTTCTTTTCTGACTTGATTTTTCCACCTCATTCTTGGACGTTCTATCTTGTTTTTTCCTCCTGTTCTGACTTCGTATACTTTTTTTGCTATTCTTTCGTCGTTCTTTCGATAGATATGATTCAGATAACCTAACTGTCTGTCACCTATAATAATTGTCTCATTAAGTTTAACTTTAAATTTTGAATTATTGTATTTTGTATTTTTTGTTAGTTACTTCCATAGATTGTTAAAGGTCTTGCCACTTGGTATACTTGGGTTATTACTTTCTTGGGTATATTTCTTTTCAAAGTTGGGTTTCTTTGTTTATTTTCCTATATATTTCTTCGTTCTGGACTGCGTTTGCCTGTTATTTTCCCTAGTATAATATTCTGTATCAATCTATATTTGGGGCTTCTCATTATATGTCCAAAATACTTAATGCTTTTTATATTCTCAGTAGTCTTGCTGAGACGTTCTAGTATTGTGGAGTTTCGAATCTTCTCCACCCAAGAAATTTTTAAAATTATTCCATAGTATCACATTTTGAAAACTTCAGGGCCATTTAGACCATTATTAATTATGGTCCAAGGCTCAACAACATAAAGCATGACAGAGAATACGTAGTAACGAAGTAGACGGTTCCGCAATCCGTAATACCTTGGACATCCTTGTAAAAGCGGCTCTAGCCTACTCTTGGATTTAAATTCGGTTAACTTGGTAAGTTTGGTACTATTAACACATAGACAGTCTTATATTCTGCTGTTTACTTATTACGAATTATTTAGTTTTCTGTATGTTTAGATCCAGAACTGCTTCCTTACATCTCTCAACAAAACTGTCACGTAATGTTTAAAGATATTAATTAGATGCTAGGAGTACTGTGTCGTCTGTATGTCGCAAATGATTGATGACTTCACGTCCTTCTTGTTTTTCTGAAAGTGCATTTTTGAAAATTCTTTTCGCTTAAATGTTGAAAAGCAGGGGCGACAAAAGATATCCTTGCCGTACCCCTCTTTTAATATTAATAGCCTGTGATTATAAACCGTCTACAAAAAACTAAGGTTGTTTGATTCTAATACAAATTTGCAATTACGCGAATGTCTCTGATATCCAAGCCAATGTCTATTAGAATTTGGATCAATATAGAGTACTTAACACGATCAAATGCTTTTTAGAACTCAATAATACACCATTACATATCTACAGATATATCACGATAATGCCTTTCGTTAAAATCCCGTTCTTAAAACCAAACTGTGTGTCACTTAGGTATTCCTCACATTTATTATAGATACCCTCTTTGTCAACCACTTTCCATCCATTTCTGAATCAAGGTCTCTTCCAATTGCTTCAATACTTCACCATTATCTTTCATCTTGCGCCAATCTAATCCACTGTTTGCCTGCCACTGCTCTTATGTCATCAACTCATCTTTTGTGAAGATGATGGGTAGAATTATAGATACGGCCATGTATTATCTTAAAAATTTTCAATAAATGGTATATATAAACTAACAGGTACGTACTGGTATGTTTATCATATACAATTTTTATCTTGTATTAATTCACTTCATAGTCATATTAAATTTACAATAGAAACAGAACAAAATCAATCCATAAATTTTTTAGATTTAAAAATTAGCAGACTTCAAAACAAACATGACTTCTCCATATATCATAAACCTACCCATACTGACACGACTATATACAATTCGTCATCCCATCCAACACAACATAAACTGGCAGCTTATCATAGTATGTTATATAGATTAACAGAAATTCCGATGTCAAAATACAACTTTGAGACAGAATTAAATATAATTAAGCAAATAGCAGTAAACAACGGATACAACGAACAAATAATTAACAAAATGCTAAATCAAAAACTACATAAGAAGGCCCTCAAATTAGAATTTCCACCACCAGAGAAAAAACCCAGTACCTTCTGCTCAATTACATATACAGGCAAAATAACAACAAAAATTGCCAAACACATAAAAAAGAAAGGAATAACACCAGCTTTCCGAACAAATAACAACCTAGGCAAATATATTAAAAATAACAAGAGCAAAAATAAAAAACACTTAAATAGTGGTGTGTACAAACTTCAATGTGGCGACTGCCCAGAAACTTACATCGGTCAAACTGGTAGAAACTTTGATAAACGAATAGCAGAACATAAAAGGGCTTTCAAGAATAGAAAAACAGATTCGACATACGCACTTCACCTTCTAGATCATAATCATTCTTTTAATGACAAATTAAAAATTCTTCACATTCAAAATAAAGGCCTTAAGCTATCTTTGTTAGAATCTATGGAAATCAACAAATTAAAAAACACAGATATAATTCTGAATGACCAACTTGAGACAAACAGTTCTCCCCTCCTCAACCTATTTCATTAGAGACTATAAATTTGTAAACCCAAGCCAAAATAGTTCACTTGAGAAAGGCAATCAGCCGAAACAGCTGTAGTGATAATATTTCAAATAAATTTGGTGGAAGTTTGAAAACAAAGTTTTCAGTGTTTTATTGTTACAATTTTTACAATTACTAGAGCCACCTATGGTGGTTAGTATATATAAAAATATTGGTAGAAACGAAAATTCTAAAAGAAAGTGCAGGAAGTAAGAAACGAATGAGAACAACCAGAAGGAAATGGTGGCTATTATGCAAGAAGATGCTAGACAGGAAATACAGCACAAACTCCTCCAACCAATCCTTGATATATTTATATACGAATAACTAATAATACAAATGTCTTAAAACATTTATAGCTTTATATTTATATTTATATTTAAATGTATCATGGTTATTCTGAATTTTATTTTATTTTACAAAATTTCTTTATCTTTTGTTTAGACGACCTTTTCACATTTGCACAGACCAAGGTAATAATAATTTAAGCGAATGCTAAGTTTCTTTCGAAATAATTAATAAGCTTCGCTTGATTGGTTCATTAGTATTGGAAATGTTTAATTTAAAATTAATGTATATATTGGTAACACTATCAGTAATCTTTAATTGCGTATTTTGTTTTAAATTGACTGAAAATGGAAGAAGTAAGTACACATTTATCTATGTTTAAACTTTTGGACAAAAGTAAAGCTTCATGCTTTCTTATATTTTATTTGTTGTGATTTTTTAAATTTTACTTAAATTTAATTAATAATGAAAATAGCGGAAATATTTATGCTGCCGTGCCATGTTATTATAATTTTTACTTCATATACACAAAATCCTTCTCCTTTAAATCCCATCTTTTATCAAAAATTATTGGAATTCATTATGGGTATGCGGAACTTGTTGATCCACGCTCTAAATAGTTATGCACTATATGGCTTCCTACATTTTGCTTTACTCGAATTATGCTTTGCGTAATGAATTGTAATATTAAGTATGTTTGCCTTCTAATAACGTATTCTTTGTACTTTTGATAGTTAAATGATTTCCACTATATTTCATATCCTTCTAGTTAACTTTTACGTTTGAAATTCTTTTAATTCAAAGAAAGTAAACTTATTTATATGTAGCTTTTAATGTCCACGCTTTCGAGCCGTAAAGAAAAGTAGAGCTCATGTAACACCGAAGCATTCTTAGGTTCTTATCTTATACCTCCAAAACATAGAAACATTAATGACTTTAATAGAAACTTTATAGAAAGCTTAATTAATAGTGTAAGTGCTATTTCAATACGTGTCTTGATTTCTTTCATGTGGTTTATATTTGATGTTATCCATGTTCCAACGTATTTGTATGTATCCATGCTCTTAATTACTGTTGATTTAGTCATGATCATGCATTTAGTTTTCTTTAAACTCATCTTCAGCCCGTATTCATGACAGTATACATTAAGGCGTTGCTTTATGTTCTGTAAGGGGCTTTATGTTCTGTTATTTCAGGGATAAGATATTATAAAATGTTGAGGAGTCATCTGCGCACACGTCCATTCCAGATCTACAACTAGAAGGAGCTGTTTTAAGATTTCCAGCATAGTTAGAACTTTATAGTGTATTTTAATTATGTAACCCGTGACTTCGTTAATTTATCGCATTTATCGTTATTTTTATCGCGATGTACAAACTAAGTCTATGGATACAGATCTATCTTAATTAACGCTGAATGTAAAAAAAA